TTAAAACAATCCTCGATTGCACTTTATTCGGACCACTTCAACTCGTGTTTGTTCGATTCAACGATGAAGTGGTTATGGTTAACCACTCGGTTTATTTCTTTTTATTTCTCCTTTTTTATAAAGACCCTTTCATTTATTTACTGCGTTTAAAAACGATTTCCAAGGAATCCTTATACATCAAAACAATCGCGGTTTCGATTCAGGTCATGGTGTAAAGGGGAAGATTCGTAAAAACATGTTTATTATTTCTGAGTTGTACTTGATTGGAGGAATGAATATTTATTAGTTATTTATGTGTTTCATTCGCTGAATTAAGTTAGGTATTTTCTTGGTGAGGAAAATTTAGCGCTGAAATAATTAATATTATATTTTTAAATGAAAATTTTCCATTTAGAACGTTAAGACGTAGCCATCCCCTTGTTTTTCCTTATCAATAGGACAGACAACGTGATCGAACACGTTCGCAGCCTTCCCCTGAATTACGCAAAGGTCGCAGATGAAAATAACCCTGTTGGAACTTGCGGCCTGAAAATATTTTCCTGGAAAAAGCACATGTTTTCCAACAATAGCGACCCAAGTATTTCAACAATATAGTGTATTGAAAATAATCGAACAATAAATTTGTGTTTATTAAAAGCACCTTTTAAAATATAGGCATTTTTTTATTAAGAACAATTATCGTTTCTTGGAACCTTGTAAAGTATAAAAGGGAAATAGTTTGTGGGCGTAGAGGTAGTAGGCACTTATTAAGAGAATTTTACGTGGGCGATTTTGTACAGAAACTTTACACTGCATATTCAATTACTAAAAGATTTAAGTTTTAATTGAAAGCGGACGTAGTTAAAATTTCTTTGATAATACTACCTATATAACAACCCTTAATCCAATGTTTAAGGTCATGCAACATTCATTCATCATTGTGTTCAAACAATTATAACTCCGAAATTTGAAGCTTTCAAGAAATGATGTTCAAAATATTGAATACTAATTAAATTTGCTTCAAATTGCTTTTTATTTCATAACGATATCTCAATTAGTTTTTGAGATACTCAAAGATTAATTATCTTGTCATTTATGTTTAAGATTATGCAAAGTTGCGTTCAAAAAATCATAGCTCCGAAATTTGAAGATTCTAAGAAATGATCTTCAAACTACTAAATACTGAATAAATTTGCTTTAAATTGCTCTTTATTTCATAACGATATCTCAATTAGTTTTTGAGATACGCGAAGGCTTATTAACCTAACATTTATGTTTAAGATTATGCCAGGTTGTATTCAAAAAATCATATCTCCGAAACTTGAAGATTCCAAGAAATGATCTTCAACCTATTAAATAATGAATAAATTTGCTTCAAATTGGTTTTTATTTCATAACGATATCTCAATTCGTTTTTGAGATACACAAAGATTAATTATCTTGTCATTTATGTTTAAGATTATGCAAGCTTGCGTTCAAAAAATCGTAATTCCGAAATTTGAAGATTCAAAGAAATGATCTTCAAATTACTAAATACTGAATAAATTTACTTCAAATTGCTTTTTATTACATAACGATATCTCAATTAGTTTTTGAGATACGTAATGATATATTACCCTAACATTAATGGTTAATATTATACAAGGTTGTGTTAAAAAAATTATATCTTGGAAATTTGAAGATTCCAAGAAATGATCTTCAAACTATTAAATACTGATTAAATTTGATTTAAATTGATTTTTATTTCATAATGATATCTCAATTCGTTTTTGAGGTACACAAGGCTTAATTATCTTGTCATTTATGTTTGAGATTATGCAAGGTTGCGTTCAAAAAATCATAACTCCGAAATTTGAAGATTTCAAAAAATGATCTTATTGCCATTAAATACTGAATAAATTTGCTTCAAATTGCTTTTTATTACATAGCGATATCTCAATTAGTTTTTGAGATACGTAAAGATATATTACCCTAACATTAATGGTCAATATTATGCAAGGTTGTATTCAAAAAATCATATCTCCGAAACTTGGAGATTCCAAGAAATGATCTTCAAACTATTAAATACTGAATGAATTTGCTTCAAATTGATTTTTATTTCATAACGATATCTCAATTAGTTTTTGAGATACACAAAGATTAATTATCTTGTCATTTATGTTTAAGATTATGCAAGGTTGCGTTCAAAAAATTATAGCTCCGAAATTTGAAGATTCCAAGCAATCATCTTCAAGCTATTAAATACTAAATAAATTTGCTTCAAATTGCTTTTTATTACATAACGATATCTCAATTAGTTTTTAAGATACGCAAAGATTTACTACCCTAATATTTATGTTTAAGATTATGCAAGATTGTGTTCCAAAAATCATATCTTGGAAATTTGAAGATACCAAGAAATGATCTTCAAGCTATTCAATATTGAATAAATTTGCTTCAAATTGCTTTTTATTACATAGCGATATCTCAATTAGTTTTTGAGATACACAAAGATTAATTATCCTGTCATTTATGTTTAAGATTATGCAAGGTTGGATTCAAAAAATCATAGCTCCGAAATTTGAAGATTCCAAGAAATGATCTTCAAGCTATTAAATACTAAATAAATTTGCTTCAAATTGCTTTTTATTACATAACGATATCTCCATTAGTTTTTGAGATACGTAAAGATATATTACCCTAAGATTAATGGTCAATATTATGCAAGGTTGTGTTCAAAAAATCATATCTCCGAAACTTGGAGATTCCAAGAAATGATCTTCAAAGTAAAAAATACTGAATAAATTTGCTTCAAATTGCTTTTTATTACATAGCGATATCTCAATTAGTTTTTGAGATACGCAAAGATTTACTACCCTAATATTTATGTTTAAGATTATGCAAGATTGTGTTCAAAAAATCATATCTTGGAAATTTGAAGATTCCAAGAAATGATCTTCAAATTATTAAATACTGATTAAATTTGATTTAAATTAATTTTTATTTCATAATGATATCTCAATTCGTTTTTGAGATACACAAAGATTAATTATCTTGTCATTTATGTTGAAGATTATGCAAGGTTGCGTTCAAAAAATCATAACTCCGAAATTTGAAGATTCCAAGAAATGATCTTCAAACTATTAAATACTGAATAAATTTCCTTCAAATTGCTTTTTATTTCATAACGACATCTCAATTCGTTTTTGAAATACACAAAGATTAATTATCTTGTCATTTATGTTTAAGATTATGCAAGGTTGCGTTCAAAAAATCATAGCTCCGAAATTTGAAGATTCCAAGAAATGATCTTCAAGCTATTAAATACTGAATAAATTTGCTTCAAATTAATTTTTATTTCATAACGATACCTCAATTCGTTTTTGAGATACACAAAGATTAATTATCTTGTCATTTATGTTTAAGATTATGCAAGATTTTTTTCAAAAAATCATAGCTCAGAAATTTAAAGATTCCAAGAAATGATCTTCAAGCTCTTANCATAGCGATATCTCAATTAGTTTTTGAGATACGTAAAGATATATTACCCTAACATTAATGGTCAATATTATGCAAGGTTGTATTCAAAAAATCATATCTTGGAAATTTGAAGATTCCAAGAAATTATCTTCAAATTATTAAATACTGATTAAATTTGATTTAAATTGATTTTTATTTCATAATGATATCTCAATTCGTTTTTAAGATACACAAAGATTAATTATGTTGTCATTTATATTGAAGATTATACAAGGTTGTGTTCAAAAAATCATAACTCCGAAATTTGAAGATTTCAAAAAATGATCTTATAGCTATTAAATACTGAATAAATTTGCTTCAAATTGCTTTTTATTACATAGCGATATCTCAATTAGTTTTTGAGATACGTAAAGATATATTACCCTAACATTAATGGTCAATATTATGCAAGGTTGTATTCAAAAAATCATATCTCCGAAACTTGGAGATTCCAAGAAATGATCTTCAAACTATTAAATACTGAATGAATTTGCTTCAAATTGATTTTTATTTCATAACGATATCTCAATTAGTTTTTGAGATACACAAAGATTAATTATCTTGTCATTTATGTTTAAGATTATGCAAGGTTGCGTTCAAAAAATCATAACTCCGAAATTTGAAGATTTCAAGAAATGATCTTCAGACTATTAAAGACTGAATAAATTTGCTTCAAATTAATTTTTATTTCATAACGATATCTCAATTCGTTTTTGAGATACGCAAAGATTAATTGTCTTGTCACTTATGTTTAAGATTATGCAAGGTTGCGTTCAAAAAATTATAGCTCCGAAATTTGAAGATTCCAAGAAATGATCTTCAAGCTATTAAATACTAAATAAATTTGCTTCAAATTGCATTTTATTACATAGCGATATCTCAATTAGTTTTTGAGATACGCAAAGATTTACTACCCTAATATTTATGTTTAAGATTATGCAAGATTGTGTTCAAAAAATCATATCTTGGAAATTTGAAGATTCCAAGAAATGATCTTCAAATTATTAAATACTGATTAAATTTGATTTAAATTAATTTTTATTTCATAATGATATCTCAATTCGTTTTTGAGATACACAAAGATTAATTATCTTGTCATTTATGTTTAAGATTATGCAAGGTTGCGTTCAAAAAATCATAACTCCGAAATTTGAAGATTTCAAGAAATGATCTTCAGACTATTAAAGACTGAATAAATTAATTTTTATTTCATAACGATACCTCAATTCGTTTTTGAGATACACAAAGATTAATTATCTTGTCATTTATGTTTAAGATTATGCAAGATTTTTTTCAAAAAATCATAGCTCAGAAATTTAAAGATTCCAAGAAATGATCTTCAAGCTCTTAAATACTGAGTAAGTTTGCTTCAAATAGCTTTTTATTTTATAACGATATCTCAAATATTTTTTGAGATACACAAAGATTAATTACCCTAAAATTTATGTTTCCGGTTATCCAAGGTTACATTCTTTACTGTAATAGTAATAATTATTGAAAATTGAATAAAACAACTCAAATAATAGACTCAATCATTTAATTATAAATATAAATTGTACAGAAATAACTATTAATCTTAATCAAAAAAAAGTTTATTTTCCATTAATAACTTCTTGTTCCTTTTTAAACATGTAAAGTTGCAAATACGAACTATTTTTTAACCCGGTAAAATGTGGGGAATAATTACAAATCAAAGCTTTCATTTCGCTATTCCAATCGGGATATCGATGCTTGTTCTTTTTGGTTTCCTCGATGAAAAAGTTTGCGAAATAATGAGACGTTTTCATCGCATCTAAACTGTGAGGGATATTATCCTTTTCCCTAAACTCAAAATTAATCTTTTCCGGATGATATTGAACCGCATAAAATGGAAATTTTTTCGATTCGAATGTAGAAATAAAAGGAAATCCATTTATGTCTTCGTTGGTAGATATTATTGTCCAATCTTGTAATAAATTTTTTTCTGTAAACGTTTCTTCGGTAAGACAAAATTGGTGGCTGTTATAAGTTACGTTTTGATTCGTTAAAATTTCGATTATCTCTTCGGGGGCTTCCGAAAATAATTTACTTTTTCTAAAATCTAAAATAAAAAAGTTAATTTTTAACAATTTAGTGAGATTAAAATTAACCCTCTTTAAAATTAAGCGGCATTGAGACTTTCGAAGCTGAACAATGAGATCGGACTTCTTCTCCATTCAACGCAACATGTATCATTAATTCCATCCCTAGGCAAGTTCCCCAAATCGGGTAATAATCGCCTTTTTTATTTAAATCTAATGCTAGATCATAAATGATTTGACCAGCATCGGCGTAACCATCGCTTTGATTAAAATATGTCGCCCCACCGGGAAATAAAATTCTTAAAAATTATTATTAAATAAAATTTAATTTAGTAAAATTTTTTACAAACCCATTTGTATGATTTACCAAATCCACGTAATATTGGCGATCTTTTCCAATTCTATCACAAAAAAATTGATTCAAAATTCGTAATAATAATTAAAAAACTTACAATATCGGAACAACTCGGGCTCCAGCACTTTCTAAGTATTTAACATAACTCGCCGCTATAAAACTGTGGTACTCCTCTTCGAATAAATGATTCACCGAAAACGTTTCTTGGGATAAAATGCCGATAATTGGGGCATCGTATGCTAAAAGAATGTGAAAAGAAACGGTTAAAAGTAATAAAACGCCGAATTTGTTTGGATCGATCATTGTTTAAAGATTAGTCGACGAAGTCACAATTGAAACTGATAATATAATTGAAATCAATATAGAGAATTTGCGTCGGTCAGAGTATCGAAAATAAATTTTGTAGGAAGTAAAATGTTGGAAATAATTTGAGATTGATAGTAAGAGTTTGGATTAAAAAATATAATCGAATATAATTTCAAAGTTTTTTTAAGATGGATTAAGAATAATTTTTATTTGATTTAAAAATATATACGTATAAGTCAATAATGATTTTAATAAATTCGTTTAATCAACACTTCAAAGTACTAAAAATACTTATAATCTCCACTGAGATATCATGTTATTGTTCGATTTAAGTTGTTTAAGTTATTAAAGTGGCTCGTATGTTGCTGAATAGTTGCTATAATCTTTTTTTTATTCGTTATATAATGGCTGCAAATAATTTTGTTTAATTTAATTAAATTTTTCTGGAAGCTTTGGCTGATTTAACAAATATTATACTGTTTCTGACATAACGCAAATAAATACGTTTTGCTGTAAAAAAAAGCCCTTTAGCGTTAATTTAATATATATATCATTTTCTAACTCGTGAGTTTATAGCGATATTTTAAATTTCTACTTTTTGACATACTAAACATGTTGTGCTACAAACAGTTTTTTCTCGAAACTTTTTATATTAAGTCTGATTACTTTCATACATTATCTAAAAATAGAGCTTCTTAGCTTTAATTTAAGACATAAATCACTTCCTAATTCCCATAAATATGGTCTAAGTGATTTTACAAAAAATTTACTGTTTCTGACATAATGAAAATGAAGACGGTTTGCTGTAAATAAATCTTTCTCCATATTTCTTGTATGGAGCCTCATCATTTCAATATATTATCTTAAAATAACGCCCTTTAGTGTTAATTTATGGTATATATCATTTTCTAACTCCTTAAAATAAGTTTATAACGATTTTTTAAATTTCTACTATTTTGGCATACTGAACATGTTGTACTACAAACACCTTTTTCACGAAATTTTTTATATTAAGCCCCATTGTTTTCCTACAATATCTAAAAATAGACCTTCTTAGCTTTAATTTAAGTCATAAATCACTTCTTATTTCCTAGAAATACGGTTTGAGTGATTTAACAAAAATTATACTATTTCTGACAAAACGCAAATGAATACGTTTTGCTGTAAATAACTTTTTCTCAAATTTTATTGTATGCAACCCCACCATTTCAATAGATTATCTTAAAACAAAGCACTTTAGCGATAATTAAAGATATATATCATTTTCTAACTCGTGAAAATAAGTTTATAGCGATATTTTAAATTTCTACTTTTTGGCATACTAAACATGTGTTGCTACAAACACTATTTTCTCGAAACTTTTTATATTAAGTCCGATTACTTTTATACATTATCTAAAAATAGAGCTTATTAGCTTTAATTTAAGACATAAATCACTTCCTAATTCCCATAAATATGGTCTAAGTGATTTTACAAAAAATTTACTATTTCTGACATAATGAAAATGAAGACGTTTTGCTGTAAATAATTCTTTCTCGATATTTCTTGTATGGAACCTTATCATTTCAATAGATTATCTTAAAATAATGCCCTTCAGCGTTAAGTTATGGTATATATCATTTTCTAACTCCTCAAAAATAAGTTAATAGCGATTTTTTAAATTTCTACTTTTTTGGCATACTGAACATGTTGTGCTACAAACACTTTTTTCTCGAAATTTTTTATATTAAGCCTTATTGTTTTCCTACAATATCTAAAAATAGAGCTTCTTAGCTTTAATTTAAATCATAAATCACTTCTTAACTCGTAGAAATATGGTTTGAGTGATTTAACAAAAATTATACTATTTCTGACAAAGTGCAAATGAATATGTTTTGCTGTAAATAATTTTTTTCAAATTTTGTTATATGTAACCCCACCATTTCAATAGATTATCTTAAAATAAAGCCCTTTAGCATTAATTTAAGATATATATCATTTTCTAACTCCTGAAAATAAGTTTATAGCGATATTTTAAATTTCAACTTTTTGGCATACTAAACATGTTGTGCTACAAACACTATTTTCTCGAAACTTTTTATATTAAGTCTGATTACTTTTATACATTATCTAAAAATAGAGCTTCTTAGCTTTAATTTAAGACATAAATCACTTCCTTATTCCTATAAATATGGTCTAAGTGATTTTACAAAAATTTTACTATTTCTGACATAATGAAAATGAAGACGTTTTGCTGTAAATAAATTTTTCTCGATATTTCTTGTATGGAACTTCATCATTTCAATACATTATCTTAAAATAACACCCTTTAGTGTTAACTTATGGTATATATCATTTTCTAACTCCTCAAAAATAAGGTTATAGTGATTTTTTAAATTTCTACTATTTTGGCATACTAAACATATTGTGCTACAAACACTTTTTTCTCGAAATTTTTTATATTAGGCCCTATTGTTTTCCTACAATATCTAAAAATAGAGCTTCTTAGCTTTAATTTAAATCATAAATCACTTCTTAACTCGTAGAAATACGGTTTGAGTGATTTAACAAAAATTATACTATTTCTGACAAAACGCAAATGAATACGTTTTGCTGTAAATAACTTTTTCTCAAATTTTATTATATGCAACCCCACCATTTCAATAGATTATCTTAAAACAAAGCACTTTAGCGATAATTAAAGATATATATCATTTTCTAACTCGTGAAAATAAGTTTATAGCGATATTTTAAATTTCTACTTTTTGGCATACTAAACATGTGTTGCTACAAACACTATTTTCTCGAAACTTTTTATATTAAGTCTGATTACTTTTATACACTATCTAAAAATAGAGCCTATTAGCTTTAATTTAAGACATAAATCACTTCCCCTAATTCCTATAAATATGGTCTAAGTGATTTTACAAAAAATTTACTATTTCTGACATAATGAAAATGAAGACGTTTTCTTGAAAATAAATTTTTCTTGATATTTCTTTTATGGAACCTCATCATTCCAATAGATTATCTTAAAATAATGCCCTTTAGTGTTAACTTATGGTATATATCATTTTCTAACTCCTCAAAAATAAGTTTATAGCGATTCTTTAAATTTCTACTATTTTGGCATACTGAACATGTCGTGCTACAAACACTTTTTTCTCGAAATTTTTTATATTAAGCCTCATTGTTTTCCTACAATATCTAAAAATAGAGCTTCTTAGCTTTAATTTAAATCATAAATCAGTTCTTAACTCGTAGAAATACGGTTTTACTGATTTCACAAAAATTGTACTATTTCTGACATAACGCAAATGAATACGTTTTGCTGTAAATAACTTTTTCTCAAATTTTATTATATGTAACTCCACCATTTCAATAGATTATCTTAAAATAAAGCCCTTTAGCATTAATTTAAGATATATATCATTTTCTAACTCCTGAAAATAAGTTTATAGCGATATTTTAAATTTCAACTTTTTGGCATACTAAACATGTTGTGCTACAAACACTATTTTCTCGAAACTTTTTATATTAAGTCTGATTACTTTTATACACTCTCTAAAAATAGAGCTTCTTAGCTTTAATTTAAGACATAAATCACTTCCTAATTCCTATAAATATGGTCTAAGAGATTTTACAAAAATTTTACTGTTTCTGACATAATGAAAATGAAGACGTTTTGCTGTAAATACATTTTTCTCGATATTTCTTGTATGGAACCTCATCATTTCAATAGATTATGTTAAAATAATGCCCTTCAGCGTTAAGTTATGGTATATATCATTTTCTAACTCCTTAAAATAAGTTTATAACGATTTTTTAAATTTCTACTTTTTTGGCAAACTGAACATGTTGTGCTACAAACACTTTTTTCTCGAAATTTTTTATATTAAGCCTCATTGTTTTCCTACAATATCTAAAAATAGAGCTTCTTAGCTTTAATTTAAATCATAAATCAGTTCTTAACTCGTAGAAATACGGTTTTACCGATTTCACAAAAATTATACTATTTCTGACATAATGCAAATGAATACGTTTTGCTGTAAATAACTTTTTCTCAAATTTTATTATATGCAACCCTACCATTTCAATAGATTATCTTAAAACAAAGCACTTTAGCGATAATTAAAGATATATGTCATTTTCTAACTCGTGAAAATAAGTTTATAGCGATATTTTAAATTTCTACTTTTTGGCATACTAAACATGTGTTGCTACAAACACTATTTTCTCGAAACTTTTTATATTAAGTCTGATTACTTTTATACATTATTTAAAAATAGAGCTTATTAGCTTTAATTTAAGACATAAATCACTTCCTAATTCCTATAAATATGGTCTAAGTGATTTTACAAAATTTTACTATTTCTGACATAATGAAAATGAAGACGTTTTGCTGTAAATAAATTTTTCTCGATATTTCTTGTATGGAACCTCATCATTTCAATACATTATCTTAAAATAACACCCTTTAGTGTTTTAACTTATGTTATATATCATTTTCTAACTCCTCAAAATAAGTTCATAGCGATTTTTTAAATTTCTACTTTTTTGGCATACTGAACATGTTGTGCTAAAAACACCTTTTTCTCGAAATTTTTTATATTAACCTCCATTGTTTTCCTACAATATCTAAAAATAGAGCTTCTTAGCTTTAATTTAAATCATAAATCAGTTCTTAACTTGTAGAAATACGGTTTGAGTGACTTAACAAAAATTATACTATTTCTGACATAATGCAAATGAATACGTTTTGCTGTAAATAACTTTTTGTCATATTTTATTATATGTAACCCCACCATTTCAATAGATTATCTTAAAATAAAGCCCTTTAGCGTTAATTTAAGATATGTATCATTTTATAACTCCTGGAAATAAGTTTATAGCGATATTTTAAATTTCAACTTTTTGGCATACTAAACATGTTGTGCTACAAACACTATTTTGTCGAAACTTTTTATATTAAGTCTGATTACTTTTATACACTATCTAAAAATAGAGCTTCTNGTTGCTGAATAGTTGCTATAATCATTTTTTTATTCGTTATATAATGGCTGCAAATAATTCTTTTTAATTTAATTACATTTTTCTGGAAACTTTTTATACTAACAATAAGTCTAATTATTTTCATACATTATCAAAAAATAGAGATTCTTAAC